TGCATTATTCACGATTAGATAATACCTTTTAACTCCCACATACGTATGTGCGAAATTTCTGTTTGTGAATAACTCAAACCTATTAAGTCGTGAGCACTTAAAATTGTATATAGTGTCTGACTGTTGCGTCATTGAAGTGAACTATATGGAAGCGGTAATGGGCATGCCTAAGTCATGGAAGAGCGTGTTCTATAGCTGCGCTCCTAAGTTCTTATTTGCGAAAATTAGAACAAATTGTTTCTGGTTCTTTTAACTTTGGCAACAACTTTTGTTTGGCACGAAATCAACATTTAATTAATTGTTTGTAAAAAAAATGTATAAAGGAAACATAGAATATTCAAAACCCATACACCTTCAAATTTGTACGTAGTATTAAAACTTTTAGGCAAAAACTGTAACATACTTTGTGGCTGTTTAAGAAAATAGTCTTACAATTATCTTGGGGTTCGGCTTAGTATGCAGCTAACTTACATTTAAGTGAGCAAGAGACAAATTATTCGTCGTATAAAACCAATTTTAAATAATGATTTTGTTAGCTTTTTAGATAAAAAATCATATTTAAATAGTCTAGTATTGTTGGCGTTGTTCATTTATTCATGCGAATTATCTATATAACAGAAATTCACGTTTTTCTAGTACGGAAAACAAACATATTTAATTGTTTATTTGTGACCCCTTTGAATAGGAAATCTGGATTATTTGCAAAGAGCTCAACAACGAGCTAACTTCAGGAATGTGACAGGAATCACACAGTGCAAACGTTTTCCAACACTGACATTAAAAACTGCCGTCTCATATAAACAATAATCATAAAAGCATACAAAGCGACGACAAACGGCTCGTGCACAGCTTTTTATTCATTTTGAGAAAATTTTGTAAGAAAAACATTTTAAAATGTCAGTGCCGGTGAGTATTTAAAAAGGAATTTGAATATATACCATTATGATTATTGAAAAATGCAGATGGAAATTGAAGGTGCCAAGCAGCCACCTAATGATAAGCTGGGGGACGGGCTCAGCTCATTTTTTGAGCAAAAAATCGCCGAATTGCAGTTTATAGTCTCCGAGAAGCAGCGTAATCTACAGCGTCTGGAGGCTCAGCGGAATGAGCTGAATTCGAAAGGTAAGCGAAATAATTGAGGAGCTGCCAGTGCCAAATACCCTTTAATCCCCTGCTGCAGTGCGTATGCTGCGCGAGGAGCTGCAGCTGTTGCAGGAGCAGGGCAGCTACGTTGGCGAGGTTGTCAAGCCGATTGATAAGAAAAAGGTGTTGGTTAAGGTGCATCACGATGGCAAATACGTTGTCGATGTGGAGAAGAATATTGACATCAACGACGTGACCACCAATAGCCGTGTGGCCCTGCGGCACGATAGCTATACTCTGCACAAGATTTTGCCAAACAAGGTCGATCCACTTGTCTCGCTGATGATGGTCGAAAAGGTGCCTGACTCCACCTATGAAATGGTGGGCGGTCTGTCCAAGCAAATCACGGAAATCAAGGAAGTCATTGAGCTGCCCATCAAGCATCCCGAGCTGTTCGATGCCTTGGGCATTGCCCAGCCCAAGGGCGTGCTGCTGTATGGACCACCTGGCACTGGGAAGACTCTGCTGGCCCGCGCCGTCGCCCATCACACCGAATGCACATTCATACGCGTCTCCGGCTCGGAGCTGGTGCAGAAATACATTGGTGAGGGTTCACGCATGGTGCGTGAGCTGTTTGTCATGGCCCGGGAGCATGCGCCATCCATCATATTCATGGACGAGATTGATTCAATTGGCTCGGCACGTTTGGAGTCCGGCAGGGGCGCCGATTCGGAAGTGCAGCGCACAATGCTGGAGCTGCTCAACCAGCTGGACGGCTTTGAGGCTTCCAAGAACATAAAGGTAATTATGGCCACCAACCGCATCGATGTGCTCGACCAGGCACTGCTGCGTCCCGGTCGCATTGATCGTAAAATCGAGTTTCCGCCACCAAGCGAAGAGGCACGCGTTGATATTCTGCATATACATTCACGCAAAATGAATCTCACGCGAGGCATAAATCTTCGCAAGATTGCCGAGCTGATGCCAGGCGCTTCCGGCGCCGAGGTCAAAGGCGTTTGCACCGAGGCTGGCATGTACGCTCTGCGCGAGCGTCGTGTCCATGTCACCCAGGAGGACTTTGAAATGGCCGTTTCCAAGGTGATGCAGAAGGACTCTGAGCGTAATATGTCCATGAAGAAGTTCTGGAAGTAGTTTACGATTAAATCAATTAGCTTTATTATATATTCCATAATTATCCTAATAAACCACGTTGGCTGATTAATCATATTTGCATGTGCCGAACAACCTTAAACATTATGTAATATTTCACACTTATTTAATACTCAGCAATATATTTTTGCCGATTCAAATTATTTAAAGATTTATAATTGTGCTTCTGGCTATCTGATTCTATAGCTGAGATAACTTGATATCAATACTCTGTATGCAATAATTTATTTTCTATCATTATCGTTTATATATAAATTTTGGTTTTAAATTACCAACCTAATATTACACATACCTTCAACATGTTTTCCTATTACATAAGTTATGATTATATGAACTAGTTTCGGTTTTATAACCCTAACTTCAATAGTTTTTGAAATCCACGAATTCAGATAATAGGAAAAATGGATGGATGAAAGAGCAGGGGTATATCGGCTAGACTGATTTAACTGATGAATTATAAATGGAGGTTTATGAGTAGCGTGAGAATTAAATCATGACACACTCATAACTAGGCCGAAATTTTCGCCTGGTTGGCCTTTAAGAAGAGTTGCTTTTACACCTGTTGCATGTATCTAAACTAATAATTTAAACGAGGAAGCAAGCACGTGTATACTATCTAAACATTTAAACTATGTTGTCTTGATTATTGGCAAAAACTATTTTATTTCCGATCCCCTTCAGGCTTGGCGAAATATCACCTAAGCCAAATGTGTTGTAATAAAAATGTATGCTATTTTTGATTCAATACAACAAACATAAAAAAAAAATTCTTTTCAAAGATCTACGCAAACCTTGATTAAACACAACTCGCCTGAGTGGAAAAATATGGCTTTACGAGCGAAAGTATGTGTGTGTGTCAAATGTACGTATTTCTGATTGTAGGGTATGTAATATGTTTCTATCCATGTAGGCTCTAATATACCAAACGCAGAACAAGTTTACATCCCGCTGAGCTTCAGATTAAAATTAGCGTATGCCTGAATATCGCCCTACTACTCATGAATTCAAGCAGGGGCCTCATGTGTTCGGGCTTTGTTAAGAAATAGTTTAATAAAAAACTGTGTTGCAAATCACACTTAATTTTGTATGTACATATGTGTGTTTGAGAACACATAGGAAAATAGGAGTTTTTTTTAAATGTTGCCTTCCTATGCGATTCTCATTTAGAGTAATTTTAAATATTGCCCTTCTATGCGATTCTCATGAGTTCAAGTGTGACATAACACATGTGTTGGCAATCCAATAAACTCTCTTCAACTCTTTTTTTGTCTCCCACTAAAATAATTTTCCGTGTGTATGTTAATCAGGTAGTTAAGCTTACATAAACTGCCTGACCTGGACACGTGCTACTTCCTTGTGCAAATACATTTGTACGTGTTTATATTATCTGGCAGATGTCATATTCAATATGTAGTTTTGAGCTGTTGCTTAAATCGTTGCAAAGCAATTAAAAAATGCGCTACCATCATCACGCGAGCAGCTTCAAATTACCCAATGGTCCAGCAAGAAAGCAATGACCCGGCCAGTTGTTGTTATTGTTGTTGTTTATGCTGCTGTTGTTTTTCGCCAACAAAGCGGAGCAATTTGCGTTGCATTGCAAACTCATAAAGTAAACGGGCAACGGGTTTGCACTTTCATTGCACACGACTCGAGCGGGTCGCCGCTGGAGACGCGCCCAACCCGACCGGCCACTTGGCTTATAAATGCCTGCCGCTTCCAGGCGCCCGCCGCCAATTGACAACGTGTGTTTACCGGATCTACAAGCGGGGGCTTTTGTTGCATTTCCGTTGTGGCAGCAACACGAAAGTAAAAGCGTTTTCCAACGAACCCGCCGATCGACTTTGAACCAACTAGTGTGGCATTCAAGCGCTGACCGCGCATTAGATACGTTTTGCCCGTGCACGACGCAGGACGTCCTCTCTGACAACGCGCACCACCCGAAACAGTCGTGTAAGTGTCCGCAGGGCAACGAGCAGCTCGAGATTTTGCAAGTGCAGTGTGCATATCTGTCAAATTGAGTGATTACTGTCTTTCAAAATGTTGCCACCAATTGCCACTGTCCAGTTTTGTTCGCCTGTGTTTGTGTGTCTGTGTGTGTGTTGCAAGGTGGCTCCAGTGGTGCTGGCCTTAAAAGTAAACTGGTTCTGCTCTCCCAATCGCTGCCAAAGCTGACTGACACAGTTAATCGCCAAGATGAAATTCTAGAATTTCTCTGATTGCATATAAGGAAAGCTTGTATTTGGCTTCCACATAACTCTGTTGCTAACTGTTTATTGGACTCTTTAATTACGTTTGGATTACAGCATCTGCAACATTTTGCAATCTAAGTCGGTTTCTTGTGTTTAAGATTAGATTTGTAAATTCAAGAAGAAAAGCTATCTGCCAGAAAAGCTATCTGCAGTATGATCTTTTTAGCAGTGGGCTTATGCGGGTCGCATTTCTGTCTAGGTTTCTCCCTTGACACTTGCAATTTTTTATTAACTTGATCAATTTTGCTAGCTAGCTATATTTTTGATTATGTTATATAGACAGTCTTCAAACCTTCAGCTGAAGCCTTTTTCCTAAAAGACTGATCTAAGTTAATTTTATTCGAATAATAAAACAAATGCCACAACGTTCCGGGTTCAAATCTGAACAAGGCTAAGCAATGCCTGAAATATTGTAGATCGAGCTATAAGTAGCAATCATTTTGTATATTGACCTCAGCGAGGTTACGTGAATTTAGTTACATGATTAAACAAAGACTTAGATTCAACGAACAGACTTTTTTTAAAGGTTAAAACCGTCAATAAATTTTCAAAAGCCGTTACCTCTACCGGTTTTTGGTAGTTAGGAAAACTGAGAGTTTGCCTTGAGGCACTCTTGGTCCAACCCCTCAACCAAACTTTCGATAAGCCATCAATAGGCTTGCCACAGGAACAGCGTGCACCTGCAGCAGCCACAGCTTCCTGTCTGCGCCATTCGATTATATAAAAAACTTTTGTTTCGTATTCACAGCAGCCGCCACGTTGCATATATACCGAAACTCTGGAGATGTCACTGATGTTGCATTTATTGTTGTTGCTGCTGCTGTTTGGTAAGTTTTGGGCGCACGATTTGCATATGAGCTGCTTTTCAATAGAGCTACTTTCGTTCCGGCCACACAGGTGAGGTGCCAGCATTTGGACGCAAGGTAAAACGAAAGGACGCCCATTACCATTTGAATGTGCCACCACCGCCGCCGCCGTTGCCACAAAAAACAGTAGCATCCGCTCAAACGGTTGTTATCGATCATGAGGTGCCGCCGTACGCATTTGAAGCCATCAACCATGATGAGTTTGAGGCGCCACAGCATCCCCAGCTGAGCGCACATTATGAGAATTCCGATTATATTTCGCACAGCGGTCACATCAGTGGCAGCAGCAGCGGTGGCAGCGGCAGCGGAGGTTACCTGGTGGACAATGGCCTGCGCAGCATTGCCAAGGGGTCAGCGGATCAGGCCAGCTCGGCCGTGGCCAGCCAGAATGCGGCCGGCAAGCAGGCCTCTTATGTGGCCAAGAGCACACTGGCTCAGGCAGCCGCTCAAGCAGCGGGCACAGCTGTTGCCGTACTGAAGGGCAGGGAGGTGCTGCTGCGCCGCCTGGAGGAGCAGATTGTTGAGGCACACAAGGCCGTGGAGTCTGAGCTCACCCAACTGCAGCAGGCCAAACGCTCCGCCAAGGCGGCGCAGTATGCCGCCCAGCAGGCGATCAACCATGTGAGCGTGCTAACTGCAGCGCTCAACAATGCACAGTCCGCCTCAGAGCTGGCCCAGAAGGCGGTCGCCGAGGCAGCCGCCGAGCTGTCATCACAAATCGATATGGTCGCTCAGGCCAAGAGCAAGCTGGAGCAGACCGAATCGCAGGCCTATGCGGCGCGTCTGGACTACGAGGAAACACGCGAGGCGGCCGAGAAGGCAACACTCTCCGCCCAGGAGGCGCATCTAAATGCCAACGATGCGGCGCTGCACGCCAACGTCGAGCTCAGCGAAGCGGTTCACATCCATGACAAGAGCGACCGCAATCTGGACGAGGAGTCGGCGCCGTCTACACGCAAGCGCAAGCGGTCGTAGGACAGGCCTCCACCTGAATGCCTAACGGTCTCTTGGCCACGGTCGGCGGTCGGCGTTTAACTTAAGTTTAACTCAAATATTTATTTTTTTTTGTCTGGCGTTTGGACAGTTACTTAATAAAATGAGATCCCTTTTAGGTTATACAATGGGCTGTATAGATTCATTGGAAGTGGAGCCAAACAAGCAGTCTGTAAGTATAATTTAGTTAGTAACTAATTTCAATTCAAATTCTAGTAGAAGAAAACTCACGTAGCTTAAGATTCGGGAACCATTAAAGCTTTGTAATTGAAGTGATATAAAAAAAACTTTGAAATTATTATTTTGATTAAATCACTTTTAACGCTCGCATTTGTTCTTAAAACTCTTTTTAAATTTTGCTATTGGAACACTTTAAAGTGAGATTAATCATATAGAACATTCAATCTATCTGTATATGCAATGCAAATGATCTTCCTCAAAGCTCCCAAGTGCTTTAAAAGCTCTTCGCATCTCTTTAAAAGCTCCAGCTTGTTGCGTACAAAACTTTAAATAAATCAAAGTTGGCAAGTTCTTTAAAATCTTTTTTCTTGGACTTACCGTGTGATGTAAGGTTCATCTAACATAACATTTTTGCAATGAATGAGAAAAAGTTAAGTTTAGTTTACCATGAAATTTGTCTTAAAGATCCCTCTTTCCTTAAAGCTCCTTAGTTCACAAGGACTGGCCGTCTTTAAAAAAGCTGGATATTAAGTTCAATCAAAAGTATGCAAATCTAAATATATTTGTGTTTTAATTCCTTCTATACAATTAATCTGCACGGACATGCATTTACAAGAGTTCACAGTTAATTTTAATTAATATATTAATGTATTTTTATTTTAAAGCTAGTCTTACCACTGTGCATGTAAAAAGAAGCATTAGGAGGCCGTTTTTTCATTCCAGTTAATAGTTGAGTTTCAACCTAACCGAATGTGTTCCAATTAAAATACAATTTTCATGGGGATAACGAGTTTTTATTTTGTCGCAAAAATATAATAAATAAATAGTATTATGAACGTAAAACTAACCGCACAAGTCACACAAACACTTAGAATTGCACTAGATTACGTAGTTAAACTAGAAATGATCCACTTAATGATAGCTATGTGGGGTAGGGACTACAGCTAGGAGCGCGCCCAGGACCAGGCGCTGCCATAGGAAATGAGGATTAATGATTGGCCAGAGACTACAGACAACCGTTGGCTTTCGCAAGACATTGACTATGTACGGCAAATCGACCAGAGACGCTCGATCTTGAACTTAACTTAACCTAGATCTCAGATAGCAACTAAATATGGTCTTAGCCTAATTGGACAACTGCTGCTGGCTCTCGCCCTCGGGCACAACATGCTCGTGCTCGGCCTTTGGCTGCGGCGGCTGTTCCACAACATCGAGCTGTGCTTGCGCATTCTTCGCCTGCTCCAGGCGACGCGAGACGCCCTCCATGGACTCGCGCAGCGAGTCAATGTCTACGGCATTTTCATCCTTGTCGCCGTCTTGATCGCCCTTCTGGTTGTTGTACTTGGAGAAATAGGTGAGGGACTTCATCAGCTGATAGCTTTTCGAGATGGGTATATTCGAATCGTAGACGCTGGTGCTGGAGCTGCAGTCGACATAGAACCACCAATTGCACTTCAGTATGGTCTGATCGAAAAGCGTATTCTCCGGGCACAGGAACGACTTACGCACCATGCCGTCGTCCGTGAGTGCGCACACATGAAAAACCTGATAGTAAGTAAAAATGATTAATGACCTGGCGAGGATCGATGTGCATCATTAGTGACTCACCATGCAGCCCAGGTCCGTATCCGCGTAGAGGCCCGGAAAATGTTTTTGCCTGGCGCAGGAGAAGCTCGTGGGCGGCAAATCCACTTTCGACTTGAAGTTGTCATCGAAATTCTTGTCATAGCCCACCGGATAGTACTCCTTGGGCGCATTCATGACCTGTCCGCCAAAGATTTGTTAGAATCTTGCATCATTCGTTGCCTCAAACCTACCTTGGATACTTTGTGCTCCGCCAGTTGCCTGGGCCTGGGTGTCGTAGTTGTTGTCGTGGTCGTTGTTGTCTTCACGGTGGATGTGCGCATAAATTCCTCACGCAGCTTGGATGCCAGCATGGCGCGATGCTCCGCCTTCAGCTGCTGCTCGCGCACATAGATGGCATGCTTTATGGTCTCGACTGTGACATTGGCCGCCGCGGCGAGCTCCTCAACGGTCACATCCTTCAGATCAAACTTGGGCTCCTCGAACTGCAAATAATTGGGATGCTTGGAGAGAGTGCGCTGCTCCGGTAGCGCCACATCCTCCTTGCCCACATTGGCAATGCGTGCAATGGACTCGGGCATGGCCTGGAAAACGGGCACTGCCTGGGGCTTCGAGAGGATCGGCTGCGCCACCATCGGATTGTCCGCATGGAACGTGCGATTGGAGTGCTAAAAGAAGTGCTGCAGGTCAAATTAACTGAAGAGCTAAATGGATTTGATGCTCACCGGTTTCACATGGCCTTCCACCAGTTTGTTGTTAACACTAACTCGTGGCTGCGTCGTGTCCACGGCTAGACGTCGCTGGGCGCCCACCGGCGACGTGACCAATGGCTCGTTGGCCGTGGCCTTTTGTGGTATAGGCCGGAAGGCGGGCACGCCCAAGGGCAGCGGGCGCGCCTCTGTCATAAGATGTGCCTGCTGCTGTGCTTGACTCTTGGCCACCGCCTGCTGCAGCAACTGCAGATTATAGGGTCCGGGTCCCGTGGAGCGTGAACTAATGCGTTTGTCCGGCAGAGCATGCTGCGCGGGTGCACTGGCCTGCATAAATGTGGTTGCAGCAAGCAGTAATCGTTCGAGTCGATGCAAGACTTACCTCCTGCTGCCGCGCAGAGGGCAGCACGCCCACCAATTCTGGTGCTCCGTTCCTGTAGCTAATGGCGCGCCTGCGATCGCTCTCCACATTGCCCAGCGATTCTTTGAAGCCCAACTCATCGCCCACACTGAGACCTGCAAGCATACAAGTGGGATTAGGCTGGCTCTCAACGGCGAAGTTGTGACGCTCCATCAATCAACCAAATCGTTCATTTAAATCTGATTTTGTCTTTATCCCTTGCTTTGCATTGTATTTACAGATAAAAATTGTATTAGGGTTAGACAATGGTCAATGGTCAATGGTCAATGATCAATGCTAATGCTACGGATATTGAACCGCAGCTGGGTCTCTCTTGCTCCACTCTAAACTCGTCGACTTGGCATTGGCATTGGCATTGGCATTAATTCATTGATGACTTAAATGCTGCAAATTATTTGTTTTTGCTCGATTAGCTCCACTTGATTAATATCTATATACACTTTACGCTTGTATGTACAACTTACTATTAAAACCGGGCAGATAGTTAAAGTTTGGGCAAGGATTTTAGAATAGAAAGTTGTTTAATTTTCGTTTTTTTTTTCTTTGTGAATTTACCTAAACCGAAATGCGCCTTGACGCCACCCAAATTTCGAACTCGAAACAGTCCAGACTTTTTGAAGTTACAATCGAGGGTGAAACCAAAATCGGACATAAAAACGCACGTCCCGCAAGCCAATCCTATAAATAAATAGAAAAAGCATTCACAGAATAGGATAGTTTTTCAATATAATACAAAGGTACTCTTAGTTAGTATATAAAGCGTGGGATTAGCGAGTATATGGGAAGTATTTGTCGTATAAAATTTAAGTAAATAATATTTCTATGTTGATTAATATCTGTAAATTTTAAGACCCGTACCATACAAAGTTACATACAAATGAAATCGTGCTTTTATAATAAAGTTCGCTTTGGGTTGGGCCCCAACACAATCCAATTGAAAAGATGTCGGCACAGGCCGTGACTGCCCGTGGCACAGTTTTTGCAAAGGTTTCAACAAATAAACGACAAGTCTAATGCGTAGACAAACATATGGAAATATATCTTTCAATCCTACAAAGATGCCCCGCATCAAATTCAAAACGCGTTGGCCGAAGTTTTGATTGATGTATCTCTCATATTAAAGGGTAAAAACCCACAGTTGCTGCCTTCATATATATCAAGGTGTTAAATTGAACAAAGGCTTTGAACATTTTAAGATTATGTGCACTGAGGCGGAAACCTTTTAAATGTTTTTCTTAATTTGCAATTAGACAGTGAAATATATTAACCGGTCGCTCAGATCAGATGCCAAGGGACCACAGCTCTGACATATGCTGCTTCGCTAATATGCCGTGACCGGGGCAATTACGACATAAGCCCAAAGAACCCAATTACCTAAGTGTTTTAGTAATAAATATTTGAGCATAACTTCCTCGTGCAACAGCCCAAAAACTATGTTAAACAAAAAAGAACGACATATCGAAGATCAAATACTCTTATTGACACATGGCTTAAGTTTGAGAATAGCGAAGCTCTGAGTTTGTTCAACACATCTTAAGAAACGAAAATGTTTTTTTTTTTGACCAAAACTTATTATTCTATAGAGCCATATGGTAAAGGGTTTGCGTTTGCCCAAATATTAATAGAATCGGAAATTTCTTAAATAATTTTAAATAAAAAACAAAAATAAATACCTAAAAACTCAATCTTTGATCATTCCTATCATTCCTTTGGCAGTTATATGTTACAGTGTCGCGATCCGGCAGATTCCTACATATGTGAATTTATTTTAAAAGTCGGGCTAACAATCAAAAAACGAAGTAAGCACTTAATATGTATATGCTGGAGGCACTTTAAACTCTGTGTGTGTTTGAGTGTGTCTGTATTGAGCTTAAATGGCTATTAGCTAATCTACAAAAGCAACAACCATAGCAACAACAACAACAACAACAAGTGAACCAAATTGCAACGTCTTGAGTTCAAATTAAATTGTTAGCATGTCAAGTGGGACATGAAATATGCGAACTCTGAGTGGATTCTTACAAAATGCCCATGATAGCGATAGCATACCCCAAGCCTGACAAAAACATAAAGCAAAGCATATATAGACCATAGCTGATCTGTGCATTAGGTATGCGAACTTG